AATAAAATACCCTTTTAAGTGGCACATATTATGTATTGTTAAGGGCTTGTTTGAGCCACATATTATTTGAAATAGTGTTTTTTTTTTTCCAGTATATATGGTTAAAATTTAAAAAGTAGAAAAAAAATTGAATTTACATGTAAAATAATTTTATCGAGAAAATTTGTGATTCAAACATTCATGATCCCTTAAATCCTTGTATATGGGTTCTAATTATTAATTTCTATATAGGTAACTATTTCTAAATATTTTTATCCCAATTAAAAAAAACTCAACAGTATATTAGTACATAATATTTCTTGATATGCATTATATTACACAAGATTTTAAATTTGAGGGGGTTACAACTTACAACTGGAAAGCAATGATGGGATTGGTGGGTCGGCCACCGAACTTTAACTGGATTTCACAAAGTAAATTTTTAACATCAAAACCGAACTTTTCATAAACCGTTTCATGGCTGATGACCGTCATCTCCCCCCCTAACAGAGACTCTCCCTGTGATTTGCTGTTACCAAAAATTGTTTTTGGCAACAACTAATCGCCACTGTATATTATCTGTTACTCCTCGTCTCCAAAATCCAGTGAAACAATGTCACGTAGCTCGACACGAGGATAAAGACTCAACAAGAAAGTCAAAAGAAGACCTAGAAGGTCAAACACACGAGGAAGGCAAACACGCTGAGGTCCTTCGTAACAGTCGGAGTCCTCACACTACATGAGAAGTCTAGACTGAGGTACTTCTTCTAAGACGAAACTGCCTAAGGAAGCTAAGAAAGGAGTTGAGGTTCTCCACTGAGAAAAATACCTCGAAGACTCCTCCAAGACTCTCAATTCATTCAAAGCTCATAGTTGAGGTTGTTCCACTTCGGAAATCTCTGTGAAGTAATTGATGTAACACTTGTAATAAAAGTTTGTCAACGTATCAGCCTATTGTATATGGCGGCTGACCCTTTATCAATATATTAGTTGTATGAATAGACAGCGATTTGACGTCTCTCGAGATGATGCCACGTGATTCTGATCCAACGATCAACGCGTCGGCCAAGATAGTATAAATAAGTTCTTTGTGTAATTTAGAAGGGGAAGTTGGATCATTGATTAAAAATAAAAAAATAAAAAAATGGACAATCATATATTCGAAAGATGCACTTGAACTCTTGAAGGAAATATATTAACATTTCATCTATTCTTCCACATATTCTGGGTTGTTATTAGATGGAGGAGTTTGGTTTCAACTCGGCAATCGTTGTTAGTGCGATTGCTTTTGTTCCACCTGTCGGAACTTGAATAATTTGTCTCTCGCCGCAAAATATCTCCCGCGTCTATTTCCTCATTGCTACCGCCGTTACTCCGGTAGGAACGCGTCGGAACCGTGCTTAACTTGACGTGAGTGGACCTAATGTCTGTTGGCTCATTTTCAGAGGTAAACATTATCCGTGAAAAAAATCCTTTACATATAGTATGTTTCTATTGTAATATTTGTTTTTAGGTGAAATGATAGTTGAGTGCTCGATCGTCATTCACAAAGGGAGACATGAAAGTGTTCTTCTTAAATCCATTTCCTAGTATCGAGGGGTTGGTAAAATTGAATAACGGGACGCTCCATGTTTCATAATCACGTCAAATCATAATTCCA